GCAAATTAAGCACAACGTTAACAAAAATTATACAACCACTCTTGAAATGTGTTCAAAAGAATAGATAGAATTTTGTGTTTGTATTGCAGGTGCCGGAAAAGTGATAATATCTTGTCGCAGCGCATGTTTTCCTACAGAAAGTGGTCGATGCTTGCTTATCTCCGATTTTAATTTGTAATTTGTGGTATTTCAACGTTTTCAACTTAACATGTCGTGTTTAAAAGTGGTGCTTTCAATTGTATGTGGGCTGGTGTTGCTGTTTGAGAACTGTGAAGCTGTGGAAGCTTTTGACAAATCTCCAAAGGACCAAAAGGAAAAATCAACTAAGTTGCCGCCTTGTAAATCATGCACTGTGCTTGTGGAATCATTTAATTTGGTGAGTGCGTGGCAGTAATAACAAATTTGTGTCGTATTAATATAAATTTTGCTTACAGGGTTTGGAAAAAATAAGTCGCGGCAGGCATGCCGGTGGTGATGCAGCTTAATTTTCATATTTTCCATAAATGAAGTGGTGCTTTATCATGCGCGGAATGCACTTAAAGGCATGGTACGTCCTCAGAGTTTAAAGATTTGTCAATTCCAAATCAACACGGGCTTCATACCGGAACAAGAAACATTGATAACATTTTCCTCGAATGATCTCGATGATTTACCGGATGCCGATCAGGTTCCTCATGACTTTTAGGTTTCGCTGTCGTTGAGTTTCACGGATAACGAATTTCCGCCGAGTAGGAATCCTCCTTGGTTACCAGCAAAGCCCATAAGAAACGCACAACATATATTTAGTTCGCAATTAGAATTCGAGGAAATGGTGGATAATTTCGGCAAGTCCCTATAGTATTTCCGCCCATTTCAATTATTTATTTATTTTCCTTACAACAGTGACAAAACCTAGTTCGATCAACAAACCTACGCCTGTTAGGTCAGCTGCTTCCGTAGATAACGCCTATTTTACCAGATGCTACCGAAATAAAGCAAGAGGATGTACCTCGAATCCAACCTCAACCATCACCACCAATAGACATGCTCAATTTAAACCAGCCCCAACCCCAGCTGCCGGTGCAAGATCCACAAGCCACAACGAGTGACGCTAGTTTCGATTTGCTTGGAGCATTCGGGGATGATAATTCATCTGGCATTGGCTCGGCTCCAATACCTGATATTTTAGGTAAGGATTCGGTAGATTGAAAAAAGTCAGACTTTTAGGCGGCCATCCAAATTAATATTTGCTAAGTTCTGAATTGAGACCTACATTTCTATTTTAGAAATTAATGTACAACCAACTTCAAATGTCAACCTTGATGATATCTTCGGCTCAGTTGCTTCATCGGCGCCGAAAATCAACGTGGAGTTTAATAGTTTTTCTGTAAACCAGCCGACACCAACTTGTGCAAACCAACCTGGTGTATTGGTGTGTGTCGCGTCAGTCTCAGCAAAATAGTCTTGCATCAACAACCAGAGCTCAGTACGTCACAGTTATTTTTCTTCTCTGTTTTTGGAAGCTAGTGCAATGAGGTATAGTTTTAATAAACATTTATTCGATTTGAAATTTTTACTACTATAGTCTTTATTTTGCAGTATATTATATACATATATTTGCAGTATATTATATTTTCATTGATCCGCTTAGTTAAGTTTAACTATAACGAAGCAAAATGATGTGTAAAACCAAGTAATTGCTTTTAAATCTAAGTAAAAAAATATACAATTTAAATGACAATTATTAAAAAGATACATGCATACATATATACGTTAAGAACATAAATATATATAGGATATAAAATTTTAATCTCTTTGTCAACTTAATTGCGGCCCTGAAAAGGGCCTCTTGTTGATTGGTATATATGTATTTATCTAAGCATAAAATTTTAATCTCTTTGTTAATTAATTGGCGGCCCTGAAAAGGGCCTTTGGATGAATCATATTACTTGCCTGCAAATAAATAAGTTTATATTTGTATAAAAGACGCTTGATGATTTTTTAAAACTAGGGACTTACGTAGCATGCAAGTATTTTAATTTTAGGAGTCTGAAATACTGAGATCAGTGCGTGTGAAATGCGGACATTGATTCATGCTGCAAGTAAAGAACGGTTAATTTCTACAAATTTAAAAACGCTTTAGTTCAAAACTTACCACATGTTTGGTATTTTATGCAATACTTACGGTTCTATAATGGTACCATATGGATCGATCTAGGTCAGAGTTTTTTTGGCTTTTCTTTTTCTTTTGTGGGCATTTTCAACGAGTTCTTTATTTAATTTTCGTATTTTGAAGAACATTCTTGCCCTGAAAAAATAATTTTTTTACTTTAATGTCGCATTGAATTGTTGCAGCATGCTCAATGTGAGTTTTTACAAAATCATTTGTAATGAAAAAGCCATCTTCGTTCAATGCCTTAAAGACTGACTCAAGACTTCGCATATGGACCATCATAGAGGAGCTTGGTAGGGATAACCCACCCTCATTAAGGTGATCCGCCCAGGAGAATGAATGGTCGTCATTGCTCCTGAACGACGTGCTGGGAATGTCATCCTGCAGCTTGTGGCAAATATATCCCGCTAAATGCTCGAGTCCGTCTAGCTCCAAATCCTCGAATTCCGCTTCTTCAACCGGCCACAGTTCTGCATTAGAGCTTAAGTTTTTCAGCAAAATACCTGTAAATATGGTGAAATATATATGTGCGATTATTAATAAAATATATTTTTATATTTAAGCCGAATGAAATAGATAAAAAATTATTTTGAATTACTTGTAAGCGGAGGCTGCGTGATTTCTATGTCAGGCGTATCATCCTCTTCTACATTAGCAGACTCGGATAATACGCCCTTGTTGTGTCCTAGCAGGTATAGTCGCAGACGGTACTTGAATTCCTGTTGGTCAGGGTGATCATGTACGCTTATATAGCAACCTGTATGCTTTAGGACTGGCAGCATACAACGATATTGACTTCGCAATATCCTCTTCCGCCCATTTTCGTCGCTTCGACCCAGACTTCAGCTTCGCTATCTGCCCTTTGGTGAAGATGGAAGCTAGTGCATCTTCCACATTTTTCATTTGGGCAGCCATTTCATCCAAACGTTTTTGCAGTGACTCCATTTTCCATGCGTGTCTCTTCAATTGCAGGTCGGACTCCCGCTTCAATGTAGCGAGCTCGGTGCACTGCTTTTCGGTTTCCTTTTTGAGGTGTGCATTTTCGCGCTTGAATGTCTCACTTCAAATAAGAGAAATATAAGATATTATTACATTTACACATAAAGATCTGTTACTTATTAACGTACACTTCCACTTTCAACACTTCCACTTCCTGAAGATCACTATCATAGTAAACACAGTTACGGATAGGTGACGTCGAAGCATCAAGAGTACCGTCCCTGGGCCGATATACTTTATCGCCTTCATTTAAACCAACTAATAAACCACTGACATTAATAATATAATATTTATAGTATAATATTTGCTACCTTCGCAATTTTGTAGCTCAATGATCTCCTCAACGCTGTCATTTTGTGACTCACACACCGGAGCAGGATCTATTTTCCACTCAAAAATGGTTGGCATGGCGTCGCGGCGAAGCGATGGTCGACTAGCAGTTCCTAAGTCTTTTATTAGATATCGACATATATAAGTAATGAAAATAAATGATAGTTACTCATGTAATCCTTATCCGTAAAGTGCTTCATGCATATTACGCTGGTGTCTAAATTGTATGGCTTCTCCTGCCGGCAGAACTCTACCCACTTTCTGGCCAAGGCGTCGTCGCGGGGAAACAAAAAAAAACTGCATTTAGGGCCTTTACCCCTACGGCTGCTACAATTCAACACACGACACGACATTTTTATAAAGTTTTTATTACAAATAAAAAGTTTTTTACTTCAGAACGCACGAATTACTTCGATTTTTCACTAGAAAATACACAATACGTTTGCAATACGTTTGCACTTGTTTATAAACAAAAAGTTTGTTTACGTATTGCCATAAACGTCAAAGTCGGCAAAACCAAAGTAGCGGTTTCGGGAATGCGCCACCTTCAGTTCATTACACCATGCATATCACATCAGCAGAGACGATGCAAAGTGTTGAGGCGAATTCACGAAGAAAAGCGAAATGGAGCAAAAAGATGCTGAAATCAAAAGGAGGTGAACATAAAAAACAACAAAATTCTAGAGTTTGAGCAATCACCAAAAAATTCCAACGACGACAAAATGTCGATGTAAAACTGTCGTAAGTGCAGCAGTTTAGAAAACGTGGCTAAAAGTGCATTTAAACGGCGTTGATGCTGATTCACTGAATATTTTTTCGTCTGCTTCAGTTTTATTTTTTTCTTTTCGGTACTTTGCTCTGATCCAACGCAAAGTGACAGCCGAATTGTAACAGCGTAAATGTTTCGCACATCCAGTCTACATACAACAAACAGTGACACACACACACACCTAACACACTTTCCCGCTGCACTTCATTTCGCTGACACCCTTTCTCTGTGCGATGACTAGCATTAGTTGGTGTGCAGGCACTTTAGTGTAAGCATATCTTAATTGTACGCAGCTGATATGCACTTAACGCGACGCCAACAAATTACATTACACAGCATATGATAGATGAAACAAAGTAAGGGGGGCGGAGGTAGTGTGGCTCTATCAGAAGTTCCTTGGCTGGTGTAAATGGAGAGATGTTTGTTTGCTTCTATGCGAAATGCGTTTAGTGGAATACGGTCGCGTTTAGTTCGAGAAAGTGCATATGCTCGTAAGTAAGTTTAATGTATGAGTGTGTCGGTATATGATAACGCAGAGTGTGCTTTCCGTTCTCAATAGTTTTTTCGCCTATAGTTGAACTCAGTTTTTGTAGTTTTGAAACTAAGCTTATTTACGATTCCAATAGTAAAATGGATAATACTGTACGTTAATTTTATCTCGGCATGAGTAAAATTTGAGTTAACCAAGCAGAGAATTTGTAACTGCTTCTTGTTTAACCCAGCAGAAAATCTGTAATTGCCTCATGTGTGTACCACCGGATATCTCTGGACTAGTTCGCGACTAATTTGCAACTATTTGAGGACCATTTTGGTACTACTTCTGGACAGTTTCGAGGTTAGTTCATTACCATTTTGGGACTAGCTCGAGATCATTTTGGATAATAAGGGACCATTTCGGCACTGTTTAAAAACTTGCTCGAGATCGTTTCGAGACTAGTTTCATGAAGTGTTCGAGCGTTTCGAAGCCTGTTCAAGGCTATTTCAGGACTTTTTCGGGGCTAGTTCGGAATGATATCGGGACATTTTCGGAAACTATTCAGGGCCATTTCCGGGCTAATGGGAGGAAATTTCAGTAGTAGTTTGCTACCATTTCAGGAGCATTTCGGAACTAGTACTGAACCATTTGAGCCTAGTTCAGAACTACTTCGGCACTTGATTCGGTTCAATTCGCGCCCCGTTCAGGGATATTTCTTAACTAATTTCGGATAATTTTGGCACTAGCAAGGGACCATTTAAGAACTTGTTGGAGGCCGGTACACGACTTTTTCAGACCCACTTGAGGGTTACATCGTTACAGTTTTGGGACAATTTAATGAGCTACAAAACTGCATATTCAAAAAAAATCTTAAAAATCAGATTAAAAGCTCAAAATTTTAATCAAAATTTGTTAATTGTTTTAATGGTTTTGCTTAAAGCATGAAACATACTTTTATGAAAAAATAAACAAAATTAACTTTAAAAATCTGGAAAATATTTAGCATAAATCACTATGTAGGTACCTACTAATTTCTGCTCCCCATTGTATTTAACTGAATCGGCTATTACTTTGCCAGGCCATACACAGATACATATTTATATATCAAATTTTATTACTCAGAGGCTAGTCGTCTATGAAAGATTTACTTCACGACACAAAAACTACTAAGCTTCACCGTACAGAAAGGTAGCAGAGATGGGCGCGGGCCTGCCTTTTCCGGCCCGGCCCGGCACGAGTGTACAGCACGGTCTGAAACGGCCGTGTACGATCCAACCCGATTAGGCACGGTTTTTTGCAATTTCACCAAAAACTTTAACTTTACGAGTATTATTGTTTTCACTAGGGAGGTGCGATTAATCGATTAAATAATTTTTTAATTAATCATAATCCTAATTAATCAAAAACATGATTAATCAGATTTTGATTAATCAGAACCTGAGTAATTACTGTTTATTCATAAAAAAATAATTGATATCTGCGAAAGTTGCTCATTTTTTCGAATATGTTTTCAAGAAAATTAACTTTTTTATAATATAGTATAATATTTTTTCCTTATTAACAAAAATATAATGCCAAAAGAGCAGCTTACTATGTCTGTTGCTCATTGAAATGAAAAATATACATATATGTATATATGTGTATAAAGTTGTTTCTATAAAAAAAAACAAAGTATAGGTTTCTGATTAATAAAATTAATTAGATTTTTGTTAATTAAAGGGTAATTAATCGCGAAGTTGATCAGTTTGATTACTCAAAGATGATTATTCTTTGATTAATTAATTAATCAGACTTCGATTAATCAACTTGTTCGACCAAATAAATCTACAAAGAAGCTATTCGGCATAACTGTGTACCTCAGAAATGAACGAAGGTAAAAGTATTGATAACACTCTCAAAGTAGGCATGCTACCTTTCCTACATATACCAATCTAAAGTCGTTTAAGTCCATAAGTCTATCTTCTTTCCTGCTGAAGACCATCGAACGCAAAATGATAACTTATTTTGTGAAATTAGGAGATAAATATTTATCTAAAAAGGAAATTTCGGGTAAAGAACATCCATCTCACATCTACTGTCTAATGTGACAAAGAGACATCCATTGGCACTGAATAACTCAGCAGACTTTAACGTTGGTGTACCAGTTTTAAAATTTTGCTCTTCGATCTCGCACACTAATAACCGGTTACCTTCACTAGAAAAAACCCACTACCCCTCTAATTATGCTATTTTTTCCAAATTATTCAATTTGAGAATAATTGGAGAAATGTAAGTCTGTTGAAATTTCGTACCAGTTGGACAAATACTCATTTGAAGATGAATAAATTACACCTTCAATCCCATCTGGACACGTCTTTTATGTTCTCGTTTTTAGTATTGGAAACTTTCTTTCAGAGGCTTATTAGCAGCTACAATAAGAAAACAGACAAGTAGTTTGTAATGAAAAAACGAAACCGACTTCAATTCTCATATAAAAATTTTAGAGTACCGTTAATTTCTTCATGATCCAATGATCGGATCTAAACCAAATTGGTTTACCACCTTTCCTTCAAAAAAATAACTATAGAAATCGGTTGCCGTGATCCAAAGTTATGCGATAACAAACACGAAAAAAAAAATATTCCGACGAATTGATAACCACCTCTTTTTTTGGTGTCGGTTATAAAAAATATGATATGAATGTGATGAAAAAATATCAGGATATTTCAAATTGCTTTCGCCAAATTCGTTATTAAGAAAAAAAGTGTGTTTGTGACTAATGTTTGCGAAACCAAGTTTTTTATCTATTAGGATAATAGGAAAACATTTAAACTTTCTTTTTATGGTGTTCAGATATTTCCTCATTGCATCGTTATTTTACTACTGAATTAAAAAAAAAAATTAAAATAGCGTTTTTTAATACTTTTGATCCCAAATATCACGAAAATTAGAACCAATTGAAGCATTTGAAAGCCAAATTCCTAATCTACGGAAAAATCCTATAAGACCCAGCTCACAGAAACTCTGCCACAAAATTTTGTTCGCCAGTGCCAATTGCACAAATTTCAATTTTTTTACATTCGCAAAATATTTTCCATTGTACAGTTTCATAAGTAAAAACACTATCAGCTGATTGCCAAAAAATGCCTACAGCTGAGATCACCTGATTTAAAACGCACGTTTTTGCAACATTGTTGCATTAAAAAGGTTAAAAAATCATAATATATCTTATTGAAAAGTTTAAAAAATTTCGTGCAAATTTAGGAATTTATAATTAAAAAAGCATTACTATAACTAAGAAAATAT